TATATATATATATGGTTACAAAACTGATTGCACCCTTTAGTCAACCTCATGAATCATGATCGTACTCACACTTTCGGCGGACACAATGGATCGGGATTAGCAGTAATTTTAATATAAATTATTTAACTTTTTAAATTTAAATAAATATTAAAACGTGTAAAGCAATGTTAAAATAATAATTAAAAAAACAATTAATATGCAGAGAAGTAGTATCATGATCGAACAACCACAAGCTGCGACACTTTCCAGGTAATATTTCCATTTTCACCTCCCATGGTCGGTGCCACGTGTCACCTTACTATTAGACCTTCAAGTATTTGGAAGTTACCAGGAAGGAATCCTAAAATTTATTTATTAGGGTTTAGGCTTTTTACATAATTACAGCCTACTTCTTATATATTTATATATCTACACCTAATTTTTTTTTTTTTAATTTCACGCGAAATTTTCACACTTCTCAAATACACATTTTATGCACAAATAATGTGATATGTAAGAAAAAGTTGAAGTTTAGAGGTTAGAAATGTAAATATAAATAGGGGTGTAAACGAGCCGAACACACGAGCCACGCGCTGTATACTCAGCTTGACAGCTCGTGTTCAGCTCGTTTATATTTATAGCTCAAAAAGTGTGTTCGTGTTCGGCTCGTTTGCTTAGCGAGCCGAATAAGAGCCGTTCACGAGCAAAGAGACGTTTTGACAACCCTAATCATGTAGCCATAAAATGATAATGATTGGGGCAAGATTTAAAGTATCAATTGAATAGTAATCATATTAAAATTTAGCTAATGACTTTCCATTGAAACCTACATACTTTATCATGTAATAATTGATATATTTTATACTTACATTTCTATGTTTATATGCCTAACACTAAAACTTTTAACATTAAATGAATATATCATTATTATTAATTTCTTAAAAGTCAAATACATATATATACGATGAAACAAAAATATCATAAATATAAATATAAAAATTTTGGTGTTAGAGATGTACAATTTATAAGAATTGTGTGGTGTTTAATGTTATATGATCTTTTAATCTAAAATTTCATAATTTTATAATCTATATTTCAAAAAAGTTATATATATACATACATACATATATATATACATAGATATATATATATATGTATATATATACATACATATATGTATATATATACATACATATATGTATATATATACATTATATGTAGATATATATATATATTTGGGGGGCATTTACATTTATCACCAAATTCCTACGAATTTTATCTAATACCACAACTTTATTTTTTACATTTATACCATCCAAATATTTAATATCACATAAAAGATATCACTATTTCAAGTTAAAAAATAAAATAAAATACATAAAAAAAAATGAGTGGCATGCATGTAAATATATTTTGACATTTTTTTTGGGCACTTAGAATGAATCTTTTCTTAGGATTTGGTCATTAAACGAGTGAGATATATATTAAAAATTACATCACAATTTAACCATTAGGCTTTTTTATTTAAGGAAATTTACATCCATACCCCACAATTTTTATTTATTTACACATTTAACACCTAAATATTATTTTTTTTAAATTTATATCATCCAAATATTTCATGTCACATAATGACGTATATGAAATAATTAAAGTTTAGATATTAGATATACAAATACAAAAGAATAGAGTGGCATGTATGTAAATCTTCCATTGATTTAACCATATCCTACTTTAACTTTAGCACTCATCAAAGAGTCCAAATATAAATTTTAAATCATTAAAAATACTAAAATTAAATAATTATAAACCATCAACTTTCACTTAATCACATTACAAACCTCCATAAAAGCCCCTCCTCCCCTTCTTTCTCCCCACCTTTCATAGATCCCATAAGAGATAGAGAGAGAGATGGTGAGCTTCTACAACCAAAACAATGGCTCTTCCCACTCACAATCCCCTTCTATTCCTCTCCACCTTTTCTTATTCATCGTCACACTACTTCTCTTCATAACCCTATCATGGTATCTTAACTATGAGTCTATATTGGAGAGCATGATAGACCAAATAAAGCTATTGCTCGTCGTGTCACCTCTCGTCGTTCTACTCGTCGTTCGCCTGCTATCGAGTGGCTCCGAAGGGAGGCGAATGGTTCCCTTCTTTGCATCGTTGCCGGACGACAGAGATGCCCTCCATCGAGCCGGCGGATCGCCGTGGGGCGTCGGCTTTCTTCTAGTTCTTCTTTTGCTCATGGTCTCTTATCAGTCCTATTTTCAGGAATTTTTGTTTTTAAAAAATAATTAATAGATAATATTTATGCAGATGATATGAATTTTTTGTTTATTGAATTCCTCTATCTCAAAAGCTCTCTCTTTGCTTATTCATTCGCAATAACGGCCGCATTTTGTTGTGATGTTAAATAAGTGAATGGCAGGCATGTAAATATGAATGTTTAGGTGTTTGATATGTAAATACATAATAATTGTGTGGTATGAATGTAATGTTGGGATTTTTTCATTGAAATTCTCAAATTAATTTCAATACCCATTAGAATTCTCAAATTAATTTTAATACTCATTGAAATTCCCAAATTAATTTCAATACCCATTAGAATTCTTAAATTAATTAAAACTCTGTTTTAATTTTAATATCCATTGGAATTCCTTGGTGTTTTCAAGGGAAATAAATTTCGGAATGTGGTACATATAGTGTCTAAGTTCAACACAAGAAACGTTCCATAATGTGTTCACGTCTGTTGAACTCTGTGATGGGCAGAATACTATAAATTAAATGTGATGCTTGTTGTTTTGGTCACTAAGCTTGTTTATCTTAATTTTAATTTTTTGCACCATCGAGTTGTGAGTGAGAAAACTTAGAAGATCTATAACAGAAGATTTGTCGTGTGAGTTGTGAGTGTCGACTCTATTCGTATAAGTTATGGCTGGAGGTATGTATAATCCTATCTCGCTTCCGCTTATCGATTCAAATATGATTTTAGATCGAATATGTTATTTAGATACCACATGTAAATGTCGATTTTTGTTAATTGAGCTTATTTTTAAGCCATTCAATTTAATTATTTGTTGCATAATTATATGTAAAAAAATGTTGGATTAGAATTAAAAATTAGTGATTAGTGGTCAGTGATTAAGGTACGTTCTTAACTCAAGTCTCAAAATTAGACAGAAAACTCTCCATCAACTACTCTATAAGCCTTGCGCTTACAATATCTGTTATAATAATTATACAATTTTATAAAAAGTACTGGAAAGAGATTTAAAATTATTTAAGAATAAAGTTACATTGAAAAATCTAAAATCTTAAAATTTCATTGTGTCCATTTTCGTCATTTAAGTGATGCACAAATAGATTAGACTCTATATTTCATATTGTATTAGTTATGATCTTAAAAATATCATTGTTAGAAGATACATATTGTATTAGTTATGATCACAAAAAGATTAAGAAGGGAATATTTCATATTGTATTAGTTATGATCTTAAAAATATCCAAAGATTAAGAAGGGAAAAATACAATGAAGACCATTGTTAGAAGATTGGAGGTCCGCTTGACCGATTGGGTATATTCATAAGAGCCAAGCCAATAAGTCCGAAACCGATTGAACCATAAGAGCTGACAAAAAAACGAATGGATGAACAAGTACGAACAATTGGGCCAAAAAACAAGGCAAAAGAAGTTCTGAGCAAAATACTACAAGGAAGCATACATGACAAGATAATCGGCTCTCTAGTAGAGTCAATTCATGAGAGGATCTAGCTCCAAAATATCTCAAATCATCTCATAGATGCCCCAGAGGCTTCTCATTAAAACCAATGATTGCCATGTAAACTCTATCTATTTCTGACGGAGCTAATCTCATCGACATGAAGCCAACAAAGCTTGGCCCGTAGGGCGAGAAAATTGTTGAACAACAATCTAATGCATGTAAAATACTAGGAATACATTAGTCCTGACTCCTTCCAAACAAGGAGAAAAATGTAATGTCATCATGTAACATCTGCTCCATAAATAGGGGAAACATTTTATGAATAAGTGACGATTGATTACTATTCATTACTCATTTTCTGTCTCTCTCTCTCACTCTCTTTATTTACACTATAATCATTGGTTATGATTTACAGACAAATTATAATTCAATACACAACATGTGTCAATTAAAAATTTATACTTACACATAAAATGTATTTTATTTTAAAAAAGGTATTGTACACCCAAAAAATGGTATGAAAGGAAGTTGAAATAGCTTGATGTATTAAATCAAATACTAAGCGTTTGACTGAAGAATTAATGGTCGGCTGATTAGCCTGAGGTCAACAGACCAAGGGCCATATTGGCCGACCAAAAGCGAACAAACATGTATGGCGAAAAATGTGCAAACCAATGACTCTTCAACCAACTAGCTGGAGTCCGACCTTCCCGCTGGTTGGCCATCCTGGCATGTTGTCAGCAAAAGTCTGACCAGCCATCTATGGCCAGTCGTCGCCTCAAGTAACCGATCGGTCATCCTAAGCCCATGACTAACTGGCTAACTGACCGACCATCTATGGTTGGCCATCTAGATCCGACCGCCCACAAAGTTCAAACGCGAACAACTTTCGAACACAAAAGGTCGCCTAAACATCCAGATGGAGTGATCGGCCAACGACATTTCAACCGACCAAAGGAGGAATATGTTGAAAGCGGTTACCATACATGCAAAAACCAAAATATCTTGTACCCCTTCATTAAAGTACTATTAACGATTGCTTTAATCTTCTGTAAAAAATAAATTTTATATTAATAAATATTAAAATTTAGACGATAGACATAAATTGATAAAATATACGCGGTGCCTACTTGAGTGCAGCAAAATTTATACCGGAGAACTGTCCGGATAGCTCTCTTATCTCCTCTTTCGCTCTGAGCGGCTGTTCTGCAGAATATGCTCAGCAAAACCATGTAAACCCAATCTGCTCTCCCATTAGTGCAGCAGCAGAGAGAGAGAGAGAGAGAGAGAGAGAGAGAGAGAGAGAGAGACGGGGAGCGAGGGAGCAATGGTCGGCAGCAATCAGCTATTGCTCTCGTTGCCGCCCCCTTGGGCACACTCTCCCCGCAATCTTAGCAGAGGAAGAAACGATAGAATCGGAGGAGGTGAGTCTTTGTCCTCTTCTCCTTGCAAGCAGGAGAAGTTTATATGCTTCTTGTGTCCACTGATTTTCATTCTATCGATGAATTGAAATGCGAGATTCGGCGGTCGCCGAAATTAAAAGTTGTTGGATATGCATTTTAATTCCCTATTTAGTTTCATTAGAATACTGAGAAGTATGTTTCCTGTCGCATAATCTGCAATTTTTTTATTAATAGATTTATTCACTAATTTATTTTTTTCCGCTGCTGATATTTTCATGCCGGAGACTTATTGAGATATGTAAGGGTTGAGCAAAGATGACTGCATCAAGTAAATATGAAAGTATCAAGGGATAGTTACATACAGACCCCCCGAAACATTGATATTTACAAATTAAACACCCGGGTGATTTTTTTAAGCTACAGAAACGATGTATTCACTTCTGTCATGATCAAATTATTGAGAATTTGATAAAAATATGAAAAATATGGGTTGGAGTTTTACCATGAATGTTGATATCTGATTGAGAATTTGAAAATTGGATGAAAGAGCCTGGCTGATTTGTAAATAGTAAGTTTCGCATGGTCTGCATGTAATTGCCCAAAATTTAAGATGCATCATTTTTTTTGGGAATAGTATGAGCAATAGGGAAAAACATATTATAGATTCATAGAAAAATAAGCATTTGTTTTGAAGAAGGTTCATAAAACATTGGTTCCATAGCCTAGGGACATTGTTTTTTTATATTCAAAGGGGATTCTTGGCTCTAAGTACAGTTTTAATATGTAAGCATCTATTTGAACAAGTAAAAAGATAGATAATTGAGGAAATATTGAGTTGTGGCATGAAATTTTTGTAGTTTGTTATCTTGAATTACCAACAAGATTGCTAAATGATATAATGATATGTTGGTGTCATATATGAGTAATTTGGGCCTATTATACAATAGAAATGGAATATTTATGCGGATGTTTGGTCAAAAAGTGTGTATTGTATGGGACAAAACAATGAAAAACCTGTTTTTTAGGATGACTTGAGCCGGTTCGTCAAATTTTTAACCTATGATGTCGTATCTCTTAAAGATTTGAAGAAGATTCTTAGCTTGTAATTTATTATCCGTTGTTTCAGCTTTAATAAGTCTAGCCATGATTGACCATATGGTTACCGTTTAATTAAATGGCAAGTTAGTTATGTCAATTGGCCTATATTAAATTCGTGAATTGTTTGCCTATATACATTATTTTGGAGAATAGTGTTTTGTAGTATCTAATGATGGCCTGTTGTTTAGTGTTGAGAACAGGTAACTTGTTCCTGATACCTTTCTGAATGAACGTATGCGTAAAAATGACTCAAAATCATAAACTTTGATTTTGCATTGACTTAAACTTGACTCAAAATGCTTAGATTATGTGTCAAAATCGTTTTGGAATCAATTGAGGTCTATGCATAAGTATTTAGATTATACTATATATCTTACACATTTATATCATACATATTATATGTTTCGGGTTAAACTCATTTTGAGACTTTTTTTTAGCAATTCAAAATATATTAAGGTGAGTCGGAGAACTGGAAATCTCACCAACGGAATTAATTTCCAGCCTAGCTTTAAGTTTCAAGATTTCTTGAATGTCCTCCTCACTTCTCTTCATGCAACACTTCACTAACCTCACAAAAGAAAATGAGTTCTATAATACTCCCAAGAAGCCAAATAAATTTATGTTGAATTCTTTTTTAAGAACAATTCCAAACCATGAAATTCTTTTAAAATCGATTCAACTAAACAATACTTACGTTGATGATGGTTCATCCTAACATTTCATGACTAAGATTTGAACCCATATTCTATAATTCTGTCTTGCTTCTTGATTATCAATTAGAATCCTCAATCTTACTGATGCCCTTTGATGCTCTATCTATGTCAATTTGATGCATCATGATTATTTTGATTATTTGGTTGTTTTTCAAATATTTCTATGATGGTATCATTACCTCTTTTTTGTATTTAATTTTGATGAGAAAAAAATATATAGAATCATCCCTTTCTTCCATATTATTTTAAGTATAGGGATGTATTTCTTTTTAGTATATATCTAGATTCTGACTTTAAATTATTTTTTAATCTTAAAGATAATTTTACTTTTATGAAGGATTTTAATGCTTATAATTGGAATTATGATTTTTATGAATTTATTGAAAGCCTATGAAATGTATATAAGATTCTTGTGTTGATTAAGCCTTTGATCGAGGATTACTTTATTATGATATGGGTTCCCGTGATATTTATTACTAATGCTCAACAATTAAGGCTCTCACCGTAGCAAACTTTCAAGTTTTACTTTTGAATATTTTTAACCCCTTAGTTCTAAAGCTTAAAGTGATGTCTTTTTTCACCACTATTATTCAAAAGCATCTTGAGGTGACAAATATATTGATCCACATCTTTGTGTATTATTATGTATTATTCATCATATATACATATCTCATAAGTTCAAAAATTGTTGATTTCTTTACTGGAACTTTATATGTTGAGTTCATGTTGTCTTTGCTGCCTTCGATATATGATTGCATGATCCACACTTATGGTTCAAATATATTTTATGATGATTAGAAACGTTAGTGATCTCAAGCTGATAGATTCTCTTCCATTTATTCAAACTATATATTGATAAAGTATGAAATATCCAATTCCATTACCTCCTCACTCATGGAGATGAGACTTCTAAGAAAGAAGGTTGTTTATATAATACAAGATTTGCATAATGGTTATTTGATTAATTTATTTAATTTTGCATTATACTTCATTTTTATTTTTATTTAGGGGCACTTACAATGCATACCACCCAATTTCTATGTATTTACATATCTAAAGCCTAAACTTTACTCTTTACATTCATTCCACGCTAATCTTTCATATCACATCAAACCACCATATTAACTTTTAAATTGTGAAATAAACCTTTTTATGCATAAGCAAGGCGGCATGTATGTTACAATTGAAGTTTAGGTGTTGGATATGAAAATAGGTAGGAATTGAGTCGTATGCATGTAAATCTTCCAAAATATTTATTTTTCATTAAAAATCATTATTTTCAAGGTAAGTTCTTATTAATGGATTTCTATTTTCATTAGAATTTGTTAATTTTAAAATTTAACCTTTTTTTATTTTATTTTTTAAATGTTGTTCCCTCCTTTTGTAACTTGATGCTTCAACGCTTGTAATTGGAATGATCATCTTATGAATTACATGAAAGCAATTGCCCTATACCGTATTGATTCCTCCTCATTTCTCTCTCTCTCTCTCTCTCTCTTCTCTCGTCTTCCTATGACTCACTCTCCCTCTTCTTGCATGAACATGTTGCTTGAGACAAGCAGTGCAAATTCCAACATTACCTACTCCTTAATCTGGAGAATCACTAATGAGTTCCTATATTCTTTCACTACACTTTCCCTCTACGAACTGCATATTCCAACATTACCTGCACCTTAATCTGGAGAATCAACAATGAGTTCCTCGATTTTCTCACTACACTTTCCCTCTGCGAACCAAAAAATTGTGTCTCAATTACGGAATTAAACTGAAGTTAAAATCAAGCCTTTCAAGATGAGCAAGGTCTCCTTCTCCATTCATTTGTTTGGTGCAAATTCTTATACTAGCTGATTCTACTGATCTTCTGCTGAATGATTCTCTCAATCCATATGCCATTTTGAGATTATTCTTCTTATTTCATATGAAATGTTGTCATTCCATTCTTTTGTGTAAAGCCATAAAAGCCCTGTGACCAAGTTCAAAGCATGGGATAATGTCAGACACGTGATCGGATCAAAATATTCCAAATATATTTGAGAAAAGCACAAGACAATAGCCAAACTTGACCAGCTCGGCAAGATAGCTTGACAAACTCAGCTTTGCTGAATTCGATTGATTCAATTATAAAGCATACAGAGTATTAGCCCAGCCAGCTTATTAGATAATTAGTTTGTCAGTTTGGAAAATTAGTTAGGCAGATAAATGTTGTGGTATGTTGAAATAGAATAGAACGATCGACGACGAAGTGAAAAATAGAACGAGAAAATTCACACCAGAAAAGAATACACAGATTTACGTGGTTCGGTAAATTGCCTACATCTATGGAGTTGCAGAGGATTTTACTAAATGAGGAAATTACACCGTCATCGATCACCTCGACGATTACAAGAAGAACATTTCACTTCCTCTCTCTCTCTCTACCGGAGATCACACCGAAGAAGAAGAAGAAGAACTGGGGAGAGCACACCTTGAGATTCCTTCTGCCTGCTTGCACCTTTTCAAAACCAATTTCTTCTTTCTGCCTTTGCCGCAAATAAGAACTACTTCTTCTGCCTTTGTCGCAAGCCACAAGCAAGAACTCCTTCTGTTGCCTTTTCCGTAAACAAGAACTCCTGCTATCTTTTTACAAAACAAGAAATCCTTCTTCCTGCAATTCAAGAGGAGTCCACGGTTTCTTTTTTTGCTTGCATTTATGGTGGTGGGGCCAACCAAAGCAAAGAGGCACGTCTCTTCCAAAGTAAGAGGCGGAAATAGTTGGCAGTAAAAAAAAGTGCAGTTTTTTTTTTTCTTACTTAGCTTTGACAGGAATAGTTATAACCGGGCTCCACCCAACAAATCTCACACTTGGAGACCGGTACACAGACAACATCACTCTTCTCCTCAAACTTGTATCCTCCACCTCTGCAACTCAAGACCCCTGTCTTCAAGCTAAAACACCAACTGAAGCTGTGCACAACTTCAGTTTCTCAAGAGTAACACCCTTTGTCAATATATTAGCAGGGTTCTGGCTCCCATAAATTTTCTCAAGCAACAACTTTTCGTCATCCAACAATGACCGTATGAAGTGATACCTGATCTGAATGTGCTTAGTTCTAGGCTGAAATGCTGGATTCTTGGCAAGGAGTATGAAGCTCTGACTATCAGTGTAAAGAATGCCCTTCTATTCTTCTTGCCCAATTCTTCCAAGAAGTTCTGTAGCCATATCATCTCCTTTGCAGCCTCTGACACTGTTATGTACTCAGCTTCTGTAGTAGACAACGAAACTGTCTTCTGCAGGTTAGAGCCCCATGATACTGCAGTGCCACCAAAAGTATAAATATAGCCCGTAGTACTTCTTCTGATATCAATGTCTCCAGCTATATCAACATCAACATAGCCTTGTACCTCTGAACTCTTTCCTAAGAAACACAAACAAGTTTCTAAAGAGCCTCTTAGGTACCTCAAGATACACTTCACAACTTCCCAATATTCCTTTCTATGATTACTCATGTATCTACTAACAACTCCCACTGCATGGGCAATATCAGGTATGATGCAAACCATAACATACATAAGTGAACCAATAGCTGAAGCATAAGGAACCTTACTCATGTGATCTCGTTCCTCCCCTGACTTGGGTGACAGATTCTTGTTGAGTCTGAAGTGATTTCCCAAGGGTGTGCCAACTTGTTTGGTCTTATCCATGTTAAATCTGCTAAGTAGCTTTTTCACATATTCAGTCTGAGAGAATCTCAATGGCTTCTGACTCTATCTCTGACAATTGTCATACCAAGGATTTGCATTGCTGCTCTCAAATCCTTCATTGCAAAATACTCTAACATCTGCTCTTTCAGATTATTGATCTCCTCAATACTAGTACCTGTAATAAGCATATCATTCACATACAACAGTAGGATGATATAGGAATCGTCAAAATACTTGACATAGCAATAGTGATCTGCTTGACATCTGTTGTACCATGCACTGTGCATGAAATTATCAAATTTTTTGTACCACTGTCTAGGAGCTTGCTTCAGGTCATACAAGCTCTTCTTCAATTTGCAAACGGACTCTTCCTTTCCCTATACCACGAACCCTTCAGGTTGTTGCATGTAGATGCCTTCTTTAAGATCCCCATGAAGAAAGACTGTCTTCATATCTAACTGCTCAAGGAAGAGATCTTCAGTAGCCACCATAGACATTACCATTCTGATGGTTGTAAGCTTTACCACGGGAGAGAAAATCTCGGAATAATCAATATCATGCTTCTACTGAAAACCTTTTACAACAAGTCTAACCTTGTACCTCTTATTGTCATCGTGCTCAGTCTTCACCCGGTACACCCACATGTTATGTAATGCTTTCTTCCCATATGGAAGTTCTGCCAACTCTCAAGTCTGATTTTCTAGTAGAGAATTCATCTTATTTTTCATGGCAAGCTCCCACTTGCTTGAATTTTTACCTTGCAAGGTTTTTTTATACCTCTGAGGTTCTCCACCATCTGTCAACAGAATGTAGTTCAAAGTTGAAGAATAACGCTGTGGAGAACGTCTAGCCCTTTCTGACCTGCGAACTGCAACTGTAGGGGTAGACTGCTCTAAAACTAACTGTGGAACAATATGAGAGACTATCCTCATAGCAAACAATGCTATCTTAGACAAAATGCTATATGCACAACTACAAAATACTCTTATCTTGATGTATTTTCCATTTTCAGTATAGCCATTTATGTATCCACCTTTGTGGGGCCAATCCAAACCTATAAATAGGGGAGACTATCCATGGGGTGAGGAGATATTTTCTCTCTTTATGCCTCTTGAGTAGAAGAAATTATACCAGACTTTGCCTATTTCATCTTCAATCTTAGAGAGAATTTTGCTGTATTTCTACTATTCTCCTTTAACAAGCTCTTACCTAGTTGGTATGAAACCACCAGCTATTCATGATCCAACACTTTGGCCACTAGCTATTCATGATTCAACATTTTTGCAAAGACTAGTGACTTCCCACGAAGTGTTCCACAAGTAACAAAACAGGTTTTGTAAAAACAATCGCCATTTATTTATAAGGAGAATTACACATGCTACTGATTTATTTCCTATTTACATACTAATATTCGGGTTCTTAGAAGGAATAATATCAATCTCCTGCTACAACCAAATCATTAAGAAGTTAATAAAATAAAAAGAAATATCGGTGGAGTTTTGTTGTGCGCTTCTAGATTTGTGTGTCATTATTATGAATGGATGTAGTTCGGTGTCATGCTCTTCAAGATTTGCCCCAAACACTTCTTTATTTTTCATTTATATATTGTTGTATTCATCCATGCATTGTTTAATTGATTTCTGTTTTTTTTGCATCAGTACCAATCAACAAAAAATTAGTCAAATTTCAGGTCAGATGTAACTTGGAAGATGAAATAAAGGGTAAAGATGATGTTAGATCCTCATATCAAGGAGAGGTGAGCTTTCTACAGGATGATTCTTGCTACATTTTTTGCAAGGTCTTCATATGGAGAATCTTGTGTCATTCCTTTCTCAAGTACTTTGGATATTGTTATTGCTTGATTTTGAAAATTGCTAAGTTCGTCATCCAAGTTTTGTGTCTTGCTTGTCTCATAAACACACATAATGGAACCCTAGAAAAAAACTTTGAGCACATGGATTGAAGGCCTTTACCGTTTCATTAATCTTATAATTGTCTTTAAATTACAATTCATATGCTTTTATTTTATTGGCCCCTCTTATTCCTTGAAAGAGTATTGCAAAAATCTATAAATACTTCATTTTGTTTATACAAAATATAACTCTCTTTTCCTTTAGTTCGGTTTTATGTTAGCCAACATTCTTTACTTACAATTTTTTTTTGGCATGGTCAATTCTCTTTCGCTGCTCGTGGTATTTCCGATCCTGAGTTTTTCACGTAAAATCTACATGTTCTTTCTTATATTTATTTTGGTATTTATCTCACTAGTTCTATTACAAAAATATGTTGGAATTATACGTATGACAATTTCTGGCGAGTTACTTGCACAGGGAGAAAACAAAACAGAGAAAATAAATTCTATATAGAAGCCAAAATATCCAAATTCTGTTTCAATATTCGTTGTACAATTATATATACCGACTTTTATAGCATATTATGTCTTAAGGATAAAATAAATATGTAAATTCTTGATATGGAAAATACTTCCAAATATAAATGGAAAAGTAATTACAAAAAAATAAAGGTAAAGATTTTGTAGGTTCGCATGAGCTAAGATGTTCCACATCACTCTTCCCCTATTTCAAAAGGATCAAAGTTGGTTGTCAATTGGGTTGTAACTTCATCAGGTGGGTGATAAGTGTAGATGTCAGACCCATTGAATGTTGACGAGGGGTTCATGTCCGACGACAAGGCTATGAAATAAGCATTGTCATTAATTCATGTAGTCGCAGGAAATCGTCCAAATTTTTAGGGACTTAATTTGGAATATGTGCAAGGCACGAAGCATTATTTGCTGAGACGCACCATAACAAGATCACTTGGTTCAAAAGCCTCATCTTCTATGAAGATTTGCCTCTTTTTTATACTTACTGTTTAATTCTAGCAATTTGGAATGTACATCTTCTAAAATTTTAGCATTGTAGCCATTTCGCCAACAAGAATGTTCTTGCACGTTGATAGAACTGCGAGATCAAAAGTATGGTTTGGTGGCTTAATATAAACTATAGTAAAATGATACTTACTTTTGGAGTTATTTTGCATGAAATTATATGCAAATTCTTCTTGACCAATGAATTTGTTCCACTGTTTTGGATGAGCTTGAGCAAAGCAATGCAACATATTTCCTACAGTGCGGGTTACCACCCCGGTCTGTCCATCCATTTGTGGGTGATAAGCGGAGCTTAATCGGAATTCGTTTTGTAACCTTCTCCATAATTCATGCCAGAGACTAATAAATTTTATGTCTCTATTCGAAGTAATGTTGCGAGGTAGCTCAAGAAGACACTATTTCATGGAAGAATAATTGAGCGAAGTGAAGCAGGTTAGAAGTTTTCTTGTAAGCAATGAAATGTGCATTTTTGAGAATATGTCCACTACTACCATAATAGAATCCATATCTCGTTTATTTCACAATAAACCCAAAACAAGGTCCATACTTACATCTTCCCATATAGAATTCAGGACCGATAATGGTAAGTTAATCCTGTATTTTGAGATGTCTCTTTGTAAGTTTGACATATATGACTCTTTTCAACATTGCATATAACGTCACGTCGTTAGTGCGACCAAAAGAGCATGTATTCATAATACATAACTGGTTACCTCAAAAGAGATAGCCATGGAGAATGGAATATTCTCCATTCAATTTAGAAGAGTGGCATTTATTACATGGATCAGAAAAATCAGCATCGACACTGTATAGTTCTTGCAAAGATTCCAAACTTGTAATTTGTGTTTTTAAGGTTGTCAGAAGTGCTAACTTTCGACTGAGAGCATCAACAACCTTGTTTTGTAAATCGGCTTTGTGTTTAAACACAAAACTAAACTTTTGCAAGAATAAAACCCAACGAGTGCGGATCCTACTCAATGATTTTTGAGAATTGAGGTATTGTAAAGATTGATGGTCAATGCATAAAAGAAAATCCTGATGTAGAGGATAATGTTCCCATTACTTTAAGATTCGAACCACTACATACAATTCATGTTCATAGGTTGGCCACTTTTGCCTTGCTTTTTCACTAAAAATGCAATGGGCCGCCATTCTTTAGAAATAACAGCTCCAATGCCAATAGAAGAAGCATCAACATCCACATGAAATGGTTCGTCAAAGTTCGGTAAGGCCAAAACTGGAGCTGTTATTAAAGCTGTCTTAATAGTTCCAAAACTGTGTTGTTGTTCACCTCACTAATGAAATGTTTTATTTTTCAAGCAATCAATAATTGGTGCGAGAATACTACCAAAACCTTTAATTAAACAACGATAAAATTTTGCCAAATCATGAAAACAACACACCTCAGATAGAGATGACAAAATTGGCCAACCTTTAATGGATGAAAGCTTTTGGGAGCCCATTTGTACCCCTTTTGCCGAAATCACATAGCCCAAATAATGAACACTTGGTAAAGCAAATTCATTCTTTGATGTAATGAGGTAAATTTTATGAGACCGTAGAACCATAAATATTGAATAAATGTGTTGCATGTGCTCTTCAAAAGATTTGCTATATGTTGATATGTCATGAAAGTAAATGACACAAAAAATATTTAAAAATAGCTTGAGTAACTCGTTGATGAGCCCCATAAAAGTGCTAAGTGCATTGCATAACCCGAACAACATCACCTTCCACTCTTAAAGGCTCTCATGACTTTTGAATGTGGTATTCCATTCATCTCCCAGCCTAATGCGAAATTGGTGATATCTTCTACGAAGACCCAACTGGGAAAATATTGTACCACCAGATAGTTTATCTAACATATCTTCTAAGTGATGAATCAAAAAATGATATTTGACAGTTATTTTATTAATTGCGCTGCTATCCACACACATTTGTAATTGACCATCTTTCTTTGGCACCAATAATGCTGGAATATTGCGAGGGCTCATACTGTTTTTTGTAGTATGTAAAATGTTGTGCGTTGAAAGTAACTAATGTATCTTTCTCTTTCATTCAAAAAGAGCATACATTAGGACGGCATTAATTTATTGCTCCAATATGAAACTGCCAAGGTCGACCGATAATTAAATAACAAACATCCATGTCTAAAACATCACAAAGTACCTCACAAACAAAATATTTCCCAATAGAGAATGTGACATGATAAATATCCGTAACTAAGACATCAATACCTCGTTTCACCCAACTAATCATGTATGATTTATGATGTTTACTAGTTTTGAGATTGAGAGCCTGTTCCACAAAGTTAGAGATGATATTTTCAGTGTATCCACCATCAACGGGTAGATCACACACTTTTCCATTAACCATACACTTGGTTCGAAAATTATGGGGTTAGTTTGACTTCATCTTTTTCAAAACTAAATTAAAAAAAAAAAAAACGTTCTTTCGAAGCAGGCAACGGGATTTCAATTCCGATGACCGACAGCTTCTTACGGGCAAACCCCACACCAAAAATAGTGCCGACATGCATCTAAGAGTTGTTGCTATTGTTGAGAGGGACATTTGTTTGATTTATGACTCGGTTGAAAGCATCTGTAACACCTAAGGTTGGTGGGTTTGCTCTAAGGATTATCCGTGGCCTGCAGTTTTGACTTGCTGACAAATCTAAAATCTATAGTAGAAGTGTTTTTAACAGCATTTGGGGATGGATTAAAACCAGATTTACTTTCTAATGGTTGAAAACTTGTCTTATCATGTATGGGTTCTTGAGATTCCTTCTTTGTCGAGTTCCTCCTGTTGTGCTGATTGATTTGGATTTCTACGTTATTTGCAAAATTCACAACCTACGACAAGGATCAAATCGAACTCAACTCAAGTTATCTTGGATTGCTTCTTTGAAACCTCCAATATATCCGACAACCATTTGATTGTATATCTCATTTTAGATTCTTCGCGCACTCAGCCGATTGAATTGCTTGGCGTACACACTAATAGTTCAGTGAACTCGTGTGTAATATTTGTATTGAACATATAACGTTTGCTTGAAATTAGTAGGTAGAAAATGAATTCCAAGGAATTACATCATTCTATACCAACTTCTGATATGGTCTTTTCCTTTTCGCAGACGAGATTGTAACAATTGTGACCACCATGCGGCTATTGCCCCCTTTAGTCGACACACTACATATTTGACTTGCTTTTCCATCGAAATTTCCATATATTTAAAAATATTTTCTACGGCTTCCCCCAATTGAGGTAGTCCTGAATGTGTAAATGACTATCGAAGAACGGAATATCCAGTTTAACCTGAAATTCTTGTGGATTTCTATCATGAAATTGATACTTATAATTTCTTGATCTGTCGGTTAGGTAAATTTCTCTTCCTCTGAATCAGAAAATTCGAATCGCGAATGCAGATCTTGTTGGCTTTCAGGAATCAAATGCATGAAATCCATACCTAGCATTCCTCTTTATTTCCTTATTCCCCAAACCAATCGGCAATGAGGATAGGGAGCGATTGATTACTCTGATGATTTGAGACTATGTATCTCCCTCCTCATCTCCATCACAATCTTTCGAATTCTGTAGTGAGTTCATCAATGCATTGTGTGGTTATTGTGTGCGCCTTCCACACTGCATCTATGCTCCGATCATCATCGTGAGCAGCCATCCTCCTAGTTCCCTAATCGATGCTCTAATACTAATTGGTGTGGTACCTACACAGGGAGAAAACAAATTCTGTATAGAAGCCAAAATATCCAAATTCTGTATCAATATTCCTAGTACAGCTATATATACCGACTCATATAGCCTATTTTATCTTAAGGACAGAACAAATCTATAAATTCTATATAAGAAAAATATTTCCAACTATAAATGGAAACGTAATTACAGAAAAATAAAGGTAAAATGGTCTGTACTCTTGCATAAGCTAAGATGTTCCACATCAATTTCTTAGGCTTGCATCCAATTATAATTGGTCATTTGATGACATTCTCTAGATTTACATCAAATGAATCATTGTTTCTGAATGATTTTAATTTGAAAAAAAAAAGGTAAGGCCATTTAATTTTCATCAGGTTTCATGGTTGTGTAATATTAATCCCGAACACCTCTGTCAAGTAATGCATAAATGGTTATCATCAAGGGGCTAATCGAGCATCGCTTTGTTTGAGCAAAAGCAAAGCTTGATAGATTGATAATATCTCCTTGAAGAACTGTAGACTGGGTATTATCCTATTCTTTCTTTGTTGCCTTGCGAAGAAAATACGCTATGCAGATTTAGTCGTGTGTCAAGCAACACTATTGTTTGTTACTGTTTGAATGAGGTTTCACTTATTTCCCAACAGTACAGAATATGCCATCGAGAATGTTAACATAAAAATATATCCTTACAAATCAATTACTTCTCCTTGAAGGTATCATAGATATATTAGCTTGCAGCTTATGCATCTCATGGAAGAATGCCGGAGGCTATGATCTTATGGCTTCATTTGGTTTTCTAAGCAAATACTCAAAATAGTAGTTCTATGATGAGAAAAGTATCAAAAATGGTCCCCTCTCCACAGGGCCATTTTAGTCCCAGAGCTTATACAAATATCAATTTAGTCTTCAAAATCTTTTAATATGGGTAAAAATAGGTTTTTCAGCCTTCATTAAAAGTGCTTGGGGAATAATTTGGCACTTTTATAAACTCAAAAACTAAAATGACCACATGTAATATTCAAGGGACTATTTTGATACTTTACTCGTTCTATAATAAAGGAAAATACTTTTTCTATGGCGGAATTTGCAGTTCTTCCCTCTTTTTTCTCTTTTTTTTCTGAATTGTTAGTCATAGTTTTATTGTAGTCATCAGTGGCATTTGCCAAATGCTTTAATTACCTGTGCAGAGATTAGAGACAAAGACCTCAAGGCGTAAATCCATTGCCTGTTTCTGTGCATCTCTGGTGTTAATAAATCTTTCAGTTGGTACATTCAATGGAGTTGCATCAGACCTGATTGATGGTTCATTGAAAGAAAAACCTGTTTGTCGAAATTGTGGGGGCACAGGTGCTATAATATGTAAGAATATTTTTTTTCCTTTCCCTTTTGTTTTGTTTGTTTTATTTATATATCTAGCCTTTCAAATTTGCTTAAATTAAAATATTAAATAATGTTCGGTGACAACTTATAACTATCATTTGAATGTTGCATGTCAGAATCACTGTTGGCATTAGAATTCAATGGAAATACTATGTTTTATTTTCTATAAATTCTTTAATTATTGGATTACACTTTCAAATGAATTGAGTATTGAATAAAATGACATGAACATGTTTTGAGAACTTTTTTCGAGGTCAAACATAAAATAAACATTGCAAAGTGTGGAAGAAATTTCTTTATATCCAGCCAGTCAGTTCATGCTGCTACCTTTCTCTGTTACAGAGCCTCTTCTTTGTTTTGGAAGATTTCCATACATGCCACTCAATACAAATGTATTTAAATATCTAACACCTAAACTTCAA